TTATCCTGCTCCCCCATGCCCCACCCCTTGGGTCAGCCTCCTAGGGGCATAGGCCTTCCTTGTTAGTTTCTCCTGGCATCCAAGCTGTTTTTGTCTTCGAGGGCTTCCTGTCCCAAGAGCTCTCAGGTCAAGTATGTAAATCTGACCTTGGGCTCAGTCAGCCACAAGGAGTCCAGAAGTCGTCTTTCTTTTCGTGTGTGTGTATATTTGTTGTTTAAGATAGGGTCTTACCAACCCTGTCTCAAAACAACAACAACAACAAAAAAAAAAAAAAAAGATAGGGTCTTACCTTGTAGTCCTGACTGACCTTGAATTCCTGGGTCCTTCCTGTCTCTGCCTCTCAAATGCTGGGGTTACAGGCATGACCCACCACCAGCAGCTGCCAAATTGTGTCTTACTCTCAGGGGTTCCAAGCAGTCAGCATTCAGTCACATGTCCACGTCAGAGTGGGCCAAGGTCTGTAGACATGATTTTAGGTGGTAGCCACATGAATTTGTTTTTAACCTAAGAGTATGTGTTAATTTTACCATTTATTGAAAACAAAATTAGAACTATAAACCTCAACTCACAGGCTTGGGTTATAATGGTATCCATAAAGTTTGCCTCCACCAAAAGAAGGCGTTTCTAAGGCAGGGCTGCTTGTATTAGAGGATATTGAGAAGTATGTATATTCTTATGGTGTGGATGCTAAGAATGAGGCTGCAGTAGGTATTTGAGTATAAAACAGGGCTCAATTTTTCTTTCTTTCTTTTTGTTTTTTGTTTTTGTTTTTTGAGACAGGGTTTATCATGTAGCTTTGGAGCCTGTCTTGTCCTGGAACTCACTCTGTAGACCAGGCTTGCCTTGAACTCACAGAGATCAGCTTGCCTGTGCTTCCAAGTGCTGGAATTAAAGGTGTGCACCACTATACCCAGTGAGGCTCAATTTTACAATTCAGTAAGGTGGTGGTGGCCCACTGTAGGCCTGGAAGTCAGCAAGAAAGACAGTGGGTGGGGACCAAAGAGCAGAGCCTACAGCTGTCCTAACTCAGAGTTAGGCAGCGGGCTCAATTTTTAAAAATTCAAGAACTGCCAACCTTCAGACACTATCAGTTTTGCTCCCGTGTGACAGAATGCCTGGCAGATGCTGCTTCTAGGAGAATGGGTTTGTTTTAGTTACTGCTTTTGATGTCAGGTCGGGCAAAGTGTGCTCAGGACCTAGGAGAGGTGAATCAGGGATGAAAGCCATCTCTTGTTGTGCCAACTGTGCCATTGTGCTTGGAGGAGCTGAGGCTGACCTTGAGCCTTCTGCTTTTACAGAGTGCTGGGGTTAGAGGTGCGTGCCAACGTGCCTGGTGTTGTGCAGCACTGAGGTCTGAACCCAGAGCTTGCACACTAAGCAAGCTCTCCTAACCAACTCAGCTACATCTCCGACACCATAAGACTTTTGACTGTATCTCCAGGACTGAAATTTCTAGATCATATGGTAATTCTATGTTCAAGTTTTGAGGAACCGCCATATTGATTTCCACAGATACCACATCATTTTACATTCCCTCAAAGAGGACAAAGGACCCCCAACTCACCACCATTTATTTTCTGAGGTTTGTATGCAAACCTATCAATGTGTGGTGTGTGGAGGAATGCATTGCAATGGTCACATGGCAGACTGGGAAGGGACCCTAGCTGAATCTTCTGAATATATTCTTTTGTTAACATTTATTTTGAAAACCTTGGTGCAGCAAAATTGAAAGATTCAGACACCGAGAATCCTGGTAGCGATGGCATGGACTCAACCACTAGTACACACTGTTGTCATTATCACAAATCCACCCATCAATCCTTCTAACATTTAAAAATAAATATTGACTATAGCTTCCTGGGCCTCTCCTAACTTCTGCTGAGTCCTTCACAATGGCCTGAGTGTTGTTTTCTTAATCAGCTTTCCAGGGGATTTTGGCATTTGGGAACTTCTGTCCAGATGTTCCTTCCATGCAGACATTGTATCTGTAGTTAACCAGTAGCCAGTCAGCTTATCTGGAAGCCCTCCACCTTCACAAAAGTGTCTCTCAAAGAAGGGTGATGGCTAGCTGGATGGTGGTGGCGTACACCTTTAGTCCCAGCACTGGTGAGGCAAATGCAGGAGGATCTTTGTGAGTCTGAGGCCAGACTGATCTACAGAGCAAGTTCCAGGATAACCTCCAGACCAATACAGAGCAAGAGAAATTCTGTCTCGAAAAACCAAAAAAAAAAAAAAAAAAAAAAAAAAGGAGAAGGGTGATGGTGTCAGGTTTTCATATAGCCCAAATCTAGTGATCCTCCTGCAGCAGCCTCCTGAGCTCTGGGCAACAGCATCACCACACCCTGCTTCTAAGGAAGTCCTTATCTCATAGGAGCCAAAAAAGTCTCCATCCAGTCCCACCCACTCCTGGCCAACCTCTTCTCCGGAAAGCCTCAGAAACCCTGCAACAGCGCATCCATTGTGGCTGCAGAAAGGAATGCAACTCTCCAGCCTGGCCTGTCCAGAGAAGAAATGCCAGCTTCCATCCTCCAGAACTGGAGATTCCTCACCCGCAATTCAAGCTGCAGAGAAAGAAAACCAGGATATCTAAGTATAATGTTAGCTTGAACAGGCATCTTATCCACTGCTCCAAAACCAGATCATCCAGGCCACTGGAATTAGGAGGTACACATGTCCTCCTCGCTTCCCTATTTGCTGTGTGATGGTGATGGTGATGATGCCATCAACACTGACAGGACCCTACTACAACCCCGTGCTGTTTCAGACACATTACGTGCATCATTCCCGCCAAAACAATTTTTATAGAGTAGGAAGCCACCAAGGTACAGACAGATTAAGTCTGTTTCCCAAAGGGACAGGCATGTTCCCTTTAGTCACTACTAGGTATGGACACATGTAGTGCACCATGACATAGTGTGATAAGTATCTATTAAGGGTCATCTTCCAAGTCAAGCTTCATGGCAGGCCAGGGGAAAAGATATAAAAGAAACTTAGGAATTTCTTATCACTCTAAAAATCAGATTCTGAGTCCAAGCAACACCTAGTCTGGCTCAGTCCCTTCACTGGGAGACACAGTGGGGACTGGTATTTTTTAGGAAACCCCAGAAATCCCTAGATAGTTATAAGCCACGCTGCTGAAGGATCTGAAAAATCTGCAAGGCTTTGAACAGAGACCCTCAGGAGTGCTAAATAAACCCTCTCCTACCTAACTCTATCCCCAGATGTTTTGTCCTTTTTCCTTTTACAGTTCTCACTAGATTGCTTAGGATGCTCTGGAACCTACGATCAACCTGTTTTAGCGTCTCAAATAAGTTGTGCCACCAGACCCAACTACATTTGGGTTTCAGATATTTATTTTCTAATATAGGTGTGACTCAGGCAGACAGATGTATGACAAAAAGCATTTGGTGTCTATCTGAAAGCCAGATTTATCTAGGCATATTGTGATTTTATTTACTAAATCTGGGACTACTGGGGCTCCCAGAGAAAGAACATGAGAGACTGCCATGACAGATTTTCTCGCAGACATGTGTCCCTGGCTGAAGTGACTAGGTGCTCTGGAATGTCCTCCTCTGGGATCTTGGGGACCTTGGTGTCCCTGAAGACAGGACTGTGGTTAATGGGCAGAATGGTCATCCTATGGGCCATACACATGCTTGGCTATGCTTTGTATCTAGTAGCCTTATTTTTCTTCCAGGAAAAAAATAAATAAATTGCTTTGGGGGACCTCCTGAGAGAACTGAGAGGGAATGTCCCCAAAATATTTCCCAGTTCCCTCACCTTTGATTCTTCCTTATTCTTGGTTGTCTGTGATCACAAAAGAAGCACGCATTACTGGCTGGCAAGATGGGTTGGTGAGTAAAGATGTTTGCCACACGAGCCCACATCTGAGTTCCATCCCCACGCCCAGGTAAAAATGAAAGGAATTCCATAAAGTTCTCTGAGGACCACATGCAAGCCATGGCACATGTGTCCCAAACCCCCCTCCAACTGTCAACCTCATGCAAGCCATGGCACATATGCCCCTGCCTCCCCCCACAACACACACACACACACACACACACACACAATAATAATTTTTAAAAGAGAGAGAGAACCAGTGAGATAGATGGCTCAGCGGATGACCTAAGTGTATCCTCTGGCCCCACATGGTGGGAGGAGAGAACCCACGTTGTGTGTCCTCTGACCTCCACCAGACAATGACTTCTGTGGATGTGTACATCAATGCTTTTTGATTTTTTTTTTCCGCCTCGACTTTTTTTCGGGGGGGGGGGCGTTAAGGCAGGACCTCCTCCTGCCTCTGCCTCCCGAGCGCGCTGGGATTAAAGGTGTGCACCACCAACGCCCGGCAGTATATTAATAGTTTTTTTAATCCTCAAATGATACAAAATTGTACACATGTAAGGGGTAGAGTGTGGGGTGTGGCATTTCAGTACATGAATACAATTTTTAATGATCAGATCATCGTGACTGGCACATCCATAAATTCAGATATCATTGATAAACCATTTCTCTGTGTTGAGTACATTTAAAAACCCTCTAGCTATTTTGAAATACACAGTTGTCCAAATTTACTTTAGGACATTCACAGTCATTCCCCCAAACCAACTGATACCTGTTTATGCTGGTGGTGATTGGTCTATTGGCACTCTAAGCACATGGGAACATCACACCAAACTTGGTGGAGGATTTTGGGTGTCACAGCCTATCTAGGCTCTGACCTATTCTTTACTCTGCATAAGGTCAGAGGTGGAGATCCCTACATGTAATTTTTCCACGGTTGGATGAGGAAACCCCTGGCCAGGGACCCTGGGGCACTGCTTCCATCGTGAGACCCTCTGACTCAGGCCAGGGCTCCTCAGTTAGCACCCTCACTGGGATCACCTGACACCAACAGCTGCCCAACCCCTGGGCAGCACCAAGAGCCTCCTGGCCTCAAACGGGTTGGGCAGCATTCACTTCCCGGCTCTGTCCTCCCGACCTGCTCAGTCATTAGGAAATGCCTCCACAGCCGGCACAGTGACAGCAGCTGTCAGCCCGGTGCCTCTGGGTGGCTCCGTCTGCTCTGGAGGCCTTGGGTAGAAAGAAGGACACTACTCTCAGGTAGGTACCAGCCAAGGTGTGTGGGGGGCTGAGGCGGAGGAAGGAGAGCGGCAGTGCTGTAAACTGAGGCTGGAATGATGTTTGGGAGAAAGGACAAAGAGGGCAAACGTGTGTGTTGCTTCTGGGTGGGGAGGCAGTCTTGGCTGAAACTGCCTGACTTGCACTAGGGCTCTGGGAGGGAACCTCAGGTGTCTAGAAGTAGCACTCTGTCTTGTGGGGTGTGATGGCCTCAGGTGGGTGACACCTGTTCCTCATCTCCATCCTGGAAACATGATGATCCTGTAAAAACTCATGGGAACAGGAGTTTCATGAGCTTGGCTTCCTTCAGCCAACCACTGTCTTCTCCTCACTTCATAAATGGCCACAGGGACAGCCTTGTTTAGGGGCACTTGAGAAACAGGGGTAGTTACTTTTCTGCTGGGCCTGCATCATCTACTAAAATCTGAAAGGTCTTCCATGGAGGCCTATCTGAACCCCAGCAGAAACAAAGATACATCCTATGGGCTGTCAGGCTAAGCTGCCCTGAGCTCCAGTGTTGGTTCTTCCCTATCCTAGCTTCGTGACTTGAGCCCTAAGCCTTAGGTCCCCTCTCTGTAAAATGGAGATAATACCTACCTCCCAAACTTGTTGTCAGGATTTGGTGAGGAAGGGATTGGAAATGCCAAACATGTAATTAGTGGTCAATAAACTGCCGCTGTTATAATTATTTATTACTAGCTCACACTGGTCTCACTTTAGCCAGGAAGACTTCTCAGTCCTCCTCTTCCCCCCAGGTTCCTCGAGGCACGGAGGCGGATGTCTTTGGTACAGGACACTTTGCAGTGGCACTTACCTAGCCTGTGCTCCAACTACAGCACGGTCCTAAGATTCTGTCTGCTGTGCTTTCCCACAGCCCAGCTCTCAAGACAGAGCAGGCCCCTAGAGCACTCAGCATGGCAGCATGGCACAGGATAGAGAGAAAGGAGGAACTAAGGAGGGAGGGGCCAGGAAAACACTGAGAAATGAAGTTAAGAAGATGGGAGACATGCATTGCCCAAGCATGAATGGTGTGGCTCTCCCGAGGCACATGAAACTGAGAGGTTCTGGTGAGTAACCCAGGATGTCTCTGACACTCGCTGGACTGCTTTTTGGCTTTTCCTAGAGCTCAGAGAAGCAGCAAAAGCTACTCCTCCCCGGTTAGCCCTAGCATGATTTCCTGACTGGGCTAACATCTACTCAAACAGTCTATCAACAGGGCCTAATAACATTCTCTGCATCATCCATGAAGTTTTCTTCTCTCTTTCCATCACTGCCAGATGACCTTGAGTCACACACACACACACACCTCCCCATCTCTAATGCTGAATATCCTAATTTATAAAGCTGGAAGTTTTTTGTTTTTTTGGTGTTTTTTTTTTTTTCGAGACAGGGTTTGGCTGTATTGTTTTGGAGGCTGTCCTGGAACTCCCTCTGTAGTCCAGACTGGCCTCAAACTCACAGAGATCCGCCTGCCTCTGCCTCCCAAGTGCTGGGATGAAAGGCGTGCGCCAATGCCGGGCTTTAAAGCTGGAAGTTTTGACTAAACTTTACTGAAGCCCAGTCTTTCTCCTATGTTCTTTCATTCACGCTCGTTCTCTTATCTATCTTGACCTCCATTTCTCAGTTATCCAAACAACTTACGTTACTGATCATCAATCCTCCTTTAAAAAAAAATCTATTTAAAGAAAACAAACAGCTTATACCCAAGCATGGCGGCACCCGCCCATAATCACAGCATGTGGTGAGTACAGACAGCAGGCCTAAGTTCAAGTCAGTCCTAGCTGTAGAGTCTAGCTCCATGCCAACTTGAGCTACATGAGACCCTGTCTCCAAGAAACAAGAAAAGAATGAAAAAAAAACTCATAAATGTCTGTTAGGCGTCATGAAGGATTTTGTGACCACCCTTTATTCCCCGTGTACAATCTCATTATTTGGCAAATAGCTGTTGAAATCTGGTGATGGGTGGACAGATGGATGAATGACCAGATGCAAGGAGTTGCCACTGTATCTCTTGGGGAGCTATACAATGGAGAAGGGCAGTTTTGTTGTCGGTTTTTTAAAAAAAAATCATCCTGATAGCAATGCATTCCTTTAAGACTTTACCCATCTATAAGGAAACAAACCTGAGAATTTGCTATTGCTATCCTAATTCCTCTGATGCCCACCATTTACCTAACCTACTGTCATCTTGTCTGGCTATTCTGCTTTGAGAAGAGCTGTCCTTTGTCAAGGGTATGCCTCTGTAGGCTAGATGCCCAGACAGGGATCCCAGGCCCCTCCAGGAGAACAGAGAGGATGTGAGCTCTTAGCATGTGACATACCCTTCGATCACTAATGCCACCACCAGTTGTGGGAGGAAGGTGGTACCACTGCCAACCTCATCGTTTCTGTGTGTTTTGTTGAGACAGGGTCTCACTATATAGCCCTGAGTTTCCTGGAACTTACCATGTAAAGGGCATGAATCACCATGCCCAGCTCTCAATCTCATTCTGCAGGGCTCAGAGGGGCTAAACAGCTTGACCAAGGTTAGCAGGTAGCAGTAAATGTAATAGACAATAATACAATGGATAAGACATTCAACCCACCTCTACCATCTAGTGCTTGACCCCCATCTCCCAGCCTGGAGGCCACATCAGCCACCTCAGAGACCAAAGAAACCTCCACAAAGATGGGACTGTTTCTATGGCTCCCGATCCCATCACCACACTTTTTTAAAGTTCTTAAAAATTACTACATTTTCAACTCAACAAAGGATCTTTAAACAGAGAGAGGGGAATTTGAGTGGTTCCAAAAGATTGTGATCTCCATAGATCCCTCCTCCTGGTAGCTAATCTTGCTCCTACCAGGTTGTGTGTCAGATTTCAGGGCAGTCATACAGGCCTTGGTGGAATCTTGGGTCCTTGGTGTTTGTCACTGATGGTAGTATATATCAATTACAGGTATTTGGGTAAGTTTAGGCTACACAGCTGTGATACCAGAGACAAGTATAGGCAATGACTTGGATTCACCACACATCCAAGCAGGTGTTCCCCTTCAAGGCCATCCACAGTCCTGCTGGGAGAGTAGCTGGGTCCCCCATTTCCTCTCAGATACGTTTGAAAACCACTGTAAACTTCCAAGTGACTCTGTAGCTTTGGTTTCAAACAATATTATGACTTTGACCACTCATTTTTCACCAGACTCGGGTCTCAGTGATTTTTGCCCACTTCTGAAATATCAGACACGTCCTCCAAGAAAGAAAATCGGCTTTTCCTGAGGCTACTCGGAACCTTCTGGCCGCCTCTGGTAACCACGGAGGAGAATCTGGAGTGACTGGCCATGGCTGGTGTGTGAGCCCTCAAGGCCCAGCAGGCATTTGCAAGTGTAAGTCCTGAGCTTCACTTTTTTAATTGCTTTATGGTTATGGCTGCCACCAAGAACAGAGTCTTGGAAATGGTGATGTGAGACATGGGATCCTAGCTCTGTCACAGACCAGGCAAGCCCTGATGAGGGAGAAGTTTGAAGAACAGTATCAGGGGGAAGTTTGAAGAATAGTATATATAGTGTTTAATATAGACCCAAACTAATCACCGACTGACCCTGCCTACGCATCTGGCCATGAATCTCTTTAGCCCCTGTTTGCCCTGGGAGCCAGGTCAGGCATCGAATCAGGAAGGGGTGAGGTGGTGATGTCAACAGTGTTTGTCATAGCTGTGGCGAGGCATCGGGCATCCCACTCCACATACTTCCTACCCAAGCCTAGCACTGTTGGGATCTCTTAGCTGTTTCCTCATGCCAGCCCCAGGAGAACCTGTACAACTCCTCTATGGATCCTAGGCTCTACGTCTTAGTTTGATGCAGGTAGGCCTCTGAGGAGAACCAGAAAAGAAAGAGTAGGAGAAAGAAGAGAAAGCAACAGGAGAAAGGACAGGTGGAGACCGGATGTGAGTGGGAGTCAGGAAGGGGGAGGGAAAGAAGAAAAACTCCCAGATGTTCACAACCCTTCACCCTCCCTCTCACCCTAGGCCCCAGCTGAGGCCTGCTACCTCTGAGGGGCCATGTCAGAAGGGGAGAGCAAGGACAGCTCGGGCAGCGAGTGCCCTGTGTGCTACGAGAAGTTCCGGGATCTAGAGGGCGCCAGCCGGACCCTGAGCTGCGGCCATGTGTTCTGTCACGACTGCTTGGTCAAGTACCTGCTCTCTACCCGGGTGGATGGACAGGTGCAGAGGACTATTGTCTGCCCCATTTGCCGCTATGTCACCTTCCTCAGCAAGAAGAGCTCCCGCTGGCCCTCCATGCTGGACAAGAGCTCACAGACCCTGGCTGTGCCCGTTGGCCTACCCTCCGTGCCCTCACCAGATCGTGGGGGCCACACAAACCCCCTGGCTGTCTCCCAGCAGGCCTGGAGACAGTCACCAAGCCAGGGGACTCAGCTCCCTTTGGACCTGCTGCCCGCCCTACCCCGAGAGTCGCAGATCTTCATCATCAGTCGCCATGGGATGCCCCTGGGAGATCAGGACAGCGTGCTGCCCCGACGCAGCCTGGCAGAGATCTCTGAGGCATCCCCAGCTCCCAGCGCCACCCGCTCCTTCTGCTGCCGGTCTCGGGCCCTCCTGCTCATCACCCTCATTGCTGTGGTGGCTGTGGTAGCTGCCATCCTACCCTGGGTGCTGCTGGTGAGGAAGCAGGCATAAGCGGCACCATACAGAGGACAGGGAAGTAAGGCCCAGCATCGAAGCTGCGCTCCACGCTGCACAGGCCATGGCTTGGGAGAGGGTGGAGGGTCCCAGTGCAGACCTGGTGCAAGCCAGCTGCAAAAGGAAGTCCTAGGCTCAGAGTGGGTGGGGCTAGATTGGAAGATTTAAGGGCTTTGTCTCCACCCACTCCATCCCTAGTCAGAGAGGGCTTTGGCATGAGGAGAGGCTGGGGCAGAGAGCCTCTTAGGCTAGCGCTGAACCGAGCAGCTGAATCCCCAGGTGTGACCTCATGAGAATCCCCAACAAACACCTCCTCTCTAGGCTGGAACTAAGCAAGCTAGAAGGTGGGAGGCCACTGCCCTCCTACAGGGTCACAGACTTTACCTGCCAAGGAACCAACCTGAAGCCAGGTAGACCTCCTAGGCACAAGGAAGTTCTACTGGCCCAAAGGAAGGAAGGCCTCTTCCAGGCCAGAATTCCCTCCCACAGAAGTTTTACTGTGCCCTCAGGAGCAAACAGAAGTTGATACAGGGTCCCAACTCCAGTTTCCAGCATCTTAGCCCCAAATCCGACCCTCAAGCATCCAGCTGCTACCTCTTCTTGCCTCCAACCCACCATCTTAAAAAGTCTTCTTTGAGATGATCTCAAAGGCTGTAGGCCTGGATGAGGAGGGGGTGAGGCCAAAACAGAAAAGCTGTCTTCTGGGTAGTCAAGACCACAGCAGGGAACGACGGGAAAGAGGCCACAAAGGCAAAGTTTCTGCAACCCTCCATGCCCAAGGAGCAGACCCAGTTTTAACATAAAAGTCAGGGGATGGAGAGGACGCCCTTCAGGTGAGACTTGAGTCAGCCGAGAGCTAGCTATGTGAGCAAATTAACCCCTGGGGGCTCCCACCTGCTCCCTGCCAAGTCCACCTCCTCGTGACCCAACCACTCATTAGAGGCCACACCAGCTGGGCCAGTTTCTCAGGTGGATTCTCGGGAGGTGAGCTGGGTGAGGAAGGGTGGGGAAGAAAACAGATGTGCTTGTCACCGACACGGCTGTCTCAATGAACGCTGAGAGCCAGGCACTACACAAGGGAGTACTCTGGTACCTCACTGATGAAGTCCCTAAGGGGAGCCTTGGAGTGGGTCTCTCTTGAGGAAGTCCTCAAGGAAGCTAGTCCCTTAAGACTGAAAACAAGGACCTCTGGCTACTGTCACAAATAGGAGGGGTTTGGCATCCAGGGTGTGCCAACACCTAAGCCCATCTGCAACTTCTCCACAAAAGTTTCCTGTCTGTGTGGGAAGAAACAATGTTGTGCCCCTTAGCTAGTTCTCAGCTGTCTGCATGGTTGACGTCTGGGGACCATTAGGGAAGAGGCTCACCCTACATGGCGACGCAGTGCGGCTGCTCTATTTGCCCACTGCTTTACACTCTTTTTAAGACAGCACAGGTGCTGTGTGGATGTGGAGGGGACAGGTAGACTGTGGGAGGGGGGAAATATTTATTATAGAAACAAAAGGAACATAAACTTGCAAACTCGTGAGTGGGTGTGCACCTCGGGCAGGTTGCATGAATCAGTGTCATGAGTATCTAGGAAACTGATTCAAGGCCTCTTAGATTCTGTCATGTTTGCTGAGTCTTTTCCGAACGACTTGTGATGTTTTCATATTGTTCAGCTGCAACTTGTAGACGCTGCTTCTTTCATTTTCAAAAAAAAAGATCTAAAGTTATTTTTAAAATAAAAGTATATATTTTCTCAGAGTCCAGAAGCCTTGCAATGCATGTAGACTCTGAAAGTGATTCTCTAGACTGAATATACAGATCCCAAGGCCCCAGAGACACTGACACTCACTTGTAGAAAAAAAAATGTAAATCAAAACCACTGGCCTCCAATTGCCAGTTGGCTTATTAAATGCTGCTCCACCAGGGAGGCTGGGGGTGGCAGCGGCAGGTGAGTTGTGGGTGGGACTTTATACTTGTAAAGTCTTATGTACCACTCAAAGTTTCCACTTTGGCCCAGCAATTTATGCTCTAGAAATGTATCTTCTTGGTCCAGCTGTCTAGATGGGTGGTGGCATACACACAATGTTATATGATTGTAGTTGTCTTTGTAGTAACAAAGGCTTAGAAAACTCCAAAGTGATAATCAACAGATACCTGTTATTAGCCTTGAGGTCCAGGGCCTGAGGTCCTGAAGAGGTGAGCCAGGCACAGAACACTGGGTCCTGAACACTATGATTTATTTGGAAAGGGGAATAAATAAATATATTCCTACTTGTTCATATGTGCATTACCTGGGGAAAATAGAAAAAAAGAAAAACAACTAATAGCAGTGATTAATTGTGGAAAGGAATGAGAAATGGAAGCCTTCACTTTGTCTTTTTATGGTTTGGGACTTTTAAGTAAAGCAAATGTTTATTAAAAACCTGAATAGAGCCGGGTGTTGGTGGCACACGCCTTTAATCCCAGCACTTGGGAGGCAGAGGCAGGCAGATCTCTGTGAGTTTGAGGCCAGCCTGGTCTACAATAGCTAGTTCCAGGACAGCCTCCAAAGCCACAGAGAAACCCTGTCTCGAAAAACCACAAAAAAAAAAAAACCTGAATAGAGGGCTGGGGGACTGCTCAGTGGTAGATAAAGAGCTTAGCAGGAATTAGACAAATAAATAAAATTGAAAAACAATCAACACTAAAGAGAGTCTTTAGTGTACACTCCTCTTGCCTACAGGGGAGACCATGCCAAGAATATTGAAGGGCTGGGCAAATGGCTCTTACTGCTCTTCCAGAATACATGAGTTCACTCCCCAGCACCCCCACAGTCACTCACAATGATCAGTAACTCCAGTTCCAGAAGATTTGATGCCCTCTTCTGGCCTCCATAGGCCCTAGACATACAATGTGGTGTACACTGTATACACGCAGGCAAAACACTCATATACTATATTAACAGAATTTTTAAATGGAGCTGGAGGGGTGGCACAGCATTTAATTGCACGGGCTCCTCTTCTAGAAGACTCAGATCAACACCCAGCACCCACAAGGCAGCTCAGTCATCTAGAACTCCAGTCCCAGGGCGCCCAATGCCCTCTTCTGGTCTCCACAGGCACTGGGCACGCACATGTTGAATAAACATATGTACAGGTAAAACACCTATACACATGAAATAAATAATATTTAAAAGTGCAGATGACTTTAAAAAGAGCGTTTGAGAACTGCCAAAGCTCTGGTGCTATGGTGTAAGAGTGCCAGGCATGGTAAGAGTGTGGCTCTGCAGGGCTGCTTCCTCTGCTTCAGACACATGGCATTTTACCAAACAGGTACCAACAAGCACAAAAAAAAGTTTCATCTTGTTGATGTTCCCAAACTCTTGTAGATTTCTTTGGGTCCCATCTTTCAATGTGTTTGATTTTGTTTATCTGTTTCAGTTTTTTGACACAAGAGTTTTTCTGTGTGTGTAGCCCTGGCTGAACTGGAACTCTGTAGACCAGACTAGCCTCAAACTCAGAGATCCACCTGGCTCTGCCTCCTGAATGTTGGGATTAAAGGCGTGCGCCACCACTGCCTGGCTCAGCATGTTTGCTTTCATTCACCTTTCTCTTCCTTTCCTTTATTTTTCTAAAATTGTATCATTTAAGCAACTATCTTGGGAAAGGTGGTTACTTAAAGCATAGGAAGATAAAATCTGACAAATAGATGGATGGATAGATAGACACTAGAACTTACTTCCCTGGCTTGACTTTGCAGAAACAATGAAAAGGTGACCTATAGAGACTTTCCTGCACCCTACCTCAGGTAAACTGACTGTCGCTATGTTTCCTGCACACACCACATCCCATCTTCTTCTTGGGCCCGTTGTATCATGTCCTGGGCCCGTTGTATCATGTCCTGGGCCATTGTATTATGTCCTGGGCCCGTTGTATCATGTCCTGGGCCATTGTATTATGTCCTGGGCCCGTTGTATCATGTCCTGGGCCCGTTATATTATGTCCTGGGCCCGTTGTATCATGTCCTGGGCCATTGTATTATGTCCTGGGCCCGTTATATTATGTCCTGGGCCCATTGTATTATGTCCTGGGCCCATTGTATTATGTCCTGGGCCCATTGTATTATGTCCTGGGCCCGTTGTATCATGTCCTGGGCCATTGTATTATGTCCTGGGCCCGTTGTATCATGTCCTGGGCCCGTTATATTATGTCCTGGGCCCGTTGTATCATGTCCTGGGCCATTGTATTATGTCCTGGGCCCGTTATATTATGTCCTGGGCCCATTGTATTATGTCCTGGGCCCGTTGTATCATGTCCTGGGCCATTGTATTATGTCCTGGGCCCGTTATATTATGTCCTGGGCCCATTGTATTATGTCCTGGGCCCATTGTATTATGTCCTGGGCCCATTGTATTATGTCCTGGGCCCGTTGTATTATGTCCTGGGCCCGTTGTATTTTGCTTCTTTGTTGCCTTGTGTCTCCTTCTGTGCAAAGTGTTCCTTCAGGGGAGGCTACAACTTACAGAACTGGGCTACATAAAATATAAGAACTACATAAAAATTTTTGTGTAATGCACACCTGCATGCATGCATACATGAATGAATATGATGCCATGGTGTCTAGAAAAACATGTATGTTCAATTTAGGTGTGAAATCTGTATAAAAGTACTTGCTTCGATGCATCTCAGCTTTACAAAGACCTGCTTCAAAATCATCCCAGAGCACCAATTTCAAGGGTCTTTTTTCAGTCAGGTAAGAAAGCAGAGAAGACAGAGGGTGGAGCCAGGACACCCAACAAGACACTGGCTTCGATAAGCAGACTATAACTGGGCTATTGGCAATTTGCATCTCTGTGCAATTTGTACAACAATCTTCCGGCTGTAGAAAGTGACCATGCCGGGTGTTGGTGGCACACCTTTAGTACCAGCACTCTAGAGGCAGAGGCAGGCAGATCTCTGTGAGTTCCAGACCAGCCTGGTCTACAAGAGCTAGCTAGTTTCAGGACAGCCTCCAAAGCCACAGAGAAACCCTGTCTCTAAGGAAAAAAGAAAGAAAGAGAGAGAGGGGGGGGAGGGAGGGAGGGAGGGAGGGAGGGAGAGAGGGAGGGAGAGAGGAAGGAAGGAAAGAAGGAAGGAAGGAAGGAAGGAAGGAAGGAAGGAAGGAAGGAAGGGGCCATGCCCTCCCAACCCTGAGTGCAAAGTTGTATTCTGGTGACTCAGAAACGGCTCGCTGAGGAAATCTGGGAGGAGGGATTGCTAAGGAAACTAAAAAGCTCTTCCTGACAGCAGGCTGGTGAGTCTGAAAGGGAGGAAGGAAAGCCAGGGCTTCCATCTAAAAGTCTTGTTAGCCACAGAACCTAGTTCCCGCAAAAACGCCATCGGCTTCTCACCTCCTCGCCTCATCCTTTCCCTCAAGCTATCCCCTGCCTCATGGAGTTAATTTTTTTTTTTTTTTTTGGTTTTTCCAGACAGGGTTTCTCTGTATTGTTTTTGAGGCTGTCCTGGAACTCGCTCTGTAGACCAGGCTGGCCTCGAACTCACAGAGATCCGCCTGCCTCTGCCTCCCGAGTGCTGGGATTAAAGGCGTGCACCACCAACGCCCAGCCTCATGGAGTTAATTTTAACATTCTTCAAAACTCAGTCAAGGCTGACCTTGCTCTGGAAGTTTCTCTGACCCCAGAGCTAAAGGCAGCTGGCTCCAGTTTCCTGTGACCCTGAACTAGCCGCTTCCCATCTGCCCTCTTGGATCATGACTTCCTGGGAGAACAAACCTGATATTACCTGTCACTCCAGTGTTCAAGGCTGGCCCATGAAGCGTGCTCCATTAGCATTTGTTGAATAGAATTGCTGGTTTTGTTCAATTTCTTTTCGTTTCGTTTTTTTCAAGACAAGGTTTCTCTGTGTAGCCCCGACTGTCCTGGAATTCACTTTGTAGACCGGACAGCCTCAAACTCAGAGATCCACCTGCCTCTGCCTCCCAAGTGCTGGGATTAAAGGTGTGCGCCACCACTGCTAGCTTTCAGTTTTTCAATTACTTATAAAATCGGGGCTCCTTCCTTTACAGAATATTTTAAAATCATGAAGACACATGGCTCAACTTTTAACCCTCAAAGGTGTGGTTTCTCTCTTTTCAACTTGACAGTAGGTTCCTACAATGGGAGCCGTATAGTTTCTGGGGTGGGGGAGCTGAAGCGCCAGCCTCATGAGTTCTGCTGTTAGTCGTTGGTCCTGTGTTTCCTTGCACCTTCCTCTCACTGCTCTGTGACTAATCTGTCCACCTTGAGGATAACTCACTGGCATCAGCACAACGCATTAGTAATGTAAAGGGCGGAAAAGAAGGAGTGTGCTCCGCATTCAGCAAGCTCCCCGTGCCTTTCGAAATATGTGCATCCTGTCAGGATGACACCTATATTATTAATTCAACAGAAACCGATGCCTCAGAATTCATTTGCAAGGAAACGGACCCCCTTGCACTGTCTCCATCAGATCTGGAACCGAGAGCAGGCGGAAGTGTTTTGTAGTTTTTAAGAGTACACTAGTCTGCACTGACAGTCCTCCCTGTGTCTGTTTCCTTAAACGTGATCTGAACCAGCACCTTGGCATCATCAGCGAGCCAAGATCTGTTTCGGACCATGCAGGTGGGGGACGATCACAATCTTGGAGAAAGACTGAGAGCAGTCAGAACCTACCCAGATAGGGGGATGGCGGGCTGGAGCTAATTATAAGGACCAACTCCTTTGCCAAGCCCATGCCTTTGGGGTGGTGATTGCCAAGTCACCTAGGTAACCGTCTGGCCAAGGTCCCAGAGCCACTGGGCGGCTAAATAGGACTTGCGCTTTCCCGGTTGGGGGACTTCCGGCGCCCAGGAATGGAAGGGTGGGTCGTCCGGGTCCACTATCTTCTCCATATTCCCGGCCTGGAGACGCTAAGCAACCCTCTCCATCCCCCGGGCACAGCGTTCCCCACAGCCTAGTATCCACACCTCCAGCGGATGACTCCAGGACCCCTCGCAGTTCCCCCTCCGATCCGCTAGGGGACGCTTGACCTTCCATTCCTCGATCCTCCTCTCGCTCAACCTCCTCTCGCTTCTCGTTCCGAGATTCTCGCGAGATCTCTCGTCAACTTACAGAACCGGAAGTCGTGTATAGACCTCTTTCCTTTTGCGGCCATCGCTGGATCGCAGCCGGTGAGTGTTCAGCGGGTTGTCCCGGGCAATCCGCCGCCATCCGTGCCTACGCACCGAGGCTTTCTGTCCCGGGGCCCCGAGACTGCCTGGCTAGCCCCACATCTGCCAGGGAGCCGTGCCGGGATGGGATCGGCCTGTTTCCTAGCCAGGGGCCGAGGGC